GAGAGTGCATGTGAGATCAAGTGCAGCTTTGCTTTAAGAATAACTTCTTTCTAATGTTGGATCTAAGGCTTGTGTGGATTTTTGCTGCTGTTTAGACTTTTCCATTTTGTCTATGAGTACAGCAGGGGAAAGTGGTGATGGGTAGTGTTATTTGATTTTATTTTATTCTGATTTTGAGAAACCCATTTTCTGATGCAGAATTTAAGCAGTATTTAATGAAAAAAAATGTTGAAAATCACTGCTATTGGTTAGTACTGATCCACTCCAAAGAAACCCGTAATTCTCAGTTTGCTATTAACAGATCCACATCAGCAGCAATTAATTTTTGATGACCTCATCAATAATGTATCTTTGATATATTGCCAAATGACTTTTATTGTCCAGCACACTAAGGAGGAAAAAAACCAGTTTTGTCCTTGCCCATCAGTTGACATCACTCATTCCTTCCTATAATCTGTGGTTTAAGGTCCATTTAGTTTTCCCGGGAAAACTGAGTACGGCAATCATCATTTCTCTCATCAGCTACGTAGTACATTTTATATTCAAGCTCTAGAAATACATGTGTTTTAAAGTTGTGTTGGTTCAAAGGATATGGCATTTGATTTGCAAACAGGTAGTATTTTTCATCATCCTAAAACATGAAACTAGGTAATAATTGTAGCAGAATTAAGAGGCTAAGATTTTTGTCTGCTGGTGTTTTCTTTTAAGTAATTGTGATGGCATTTTTTTCATTTTGTAATATGTGCTTTTAGAAGTGAAGGAAGTTGACTTTTTGTGACTGTGCCTTCATTTTTAATCTCTTTGTGAATGAAAAGCTATATACAGGCACAAATCCAGCAGCTTAATTCTCCATCTGATTAGAGCAATGTTACCAACCTGATAGGTTGAAAACAGCCATGATCCATGCAGTGGCTCAGCCTCCTGGGAGGCAGAGTAATAACAATCAAATGAAGACATATTAAAATGTAATATTACTTCCTCTCCATGGGGACTGTATAAGAATCATAGCCAGAAACTGTTCTTGTCAGCTGACTCTGCTTCGTTCACTGATTCCCTGCCTCTGCATTTATGACTAATGCATTTCATACAATAAACAGCACTGTGGAGTTTTAAAAGCAAATAAATGTAAAACATTTACATGATTTACGTGAGTTCTAGGCTTTTGTTTGTTTTTTTGTTTGTTTTGTTGAGGCTTTTGTTTGATTTTGTATAATTCATATATTTCAAAGAAGGGGAGGCAGATCTGAATGAAGTTTTTTGGTCTAAATAATTTCATTTCTCCCTTGTGTGCAGGAGAGGATATGTTAAGGCAGTGTTTTACAAAACTGAAAATATATACTAGCTTCTCTAAAGCATGTATCAGCAGACTCTTAACCATAATTTCATAACAGATAAGTGTTTTGTGAATGCTGAGAACCTAAATTGCATTCCTCATAAAATGGCAGCTGCTGTTGTATTCAAGGAATGCAGACACACAGTGTCTGATAAACTGTTTTAAAAAATGCCAATAAGTTATTACAATTTTGTTAGAAAGTCTTACAATTTTTAGTGCAATTATATATGTTTATTTGCTGGTGTGGTTTGACTGTTGACTGAATAATACGCTTTTGACTGTAATTATTAGTTTTGCAATTGACATCAGTGGAACAGGACAAGTCTCAGAAAACCAGAGCTATCTAATCATCAGAGGATTTAAAAATATTTTGCTACCTGTTTAGCAACATTTTACTTACTTTTAGGTTCATACGTATTGCTGTATTAATACAAAGTGTGGGATTCTGAAAACATGTAACACTAATGAGAAACTTCATACTAATCATTAGTTCTGTTTATTAATGTTAATATTTAAGTAGTATCTTGTCTTCTTAGCAGAGGGGCATGTAGGGTAGATCATGTGTAAGAAATTGACTCTAAAATATATCCGTATTTAGATGTATATATAAAAAACCCCAAACCATATATAAAAATAAACTGGATGGAAGGTTTAAAATTTGATTATATAAACACACTGGAGAGTATAATTCCCATTTTAGACAGAAGAAAATTTGTGTCATGCTTCTGTGTTTATACCAAAACTCCTATCACTTTATTTTTTTCTTTTTTTAAAATATCCTTTCAGTGTGAGCAGAGCTACAGGTAAAGGGCCGCTTTCCTGCAGAGGTGTGAGTGCAGTGGTGGAGCTAACATGATAGTGGGTGTAGTTTTCATTTGGAGATCGATATAGAAAGGCCACAGCAAGTGTTTGAGGAATATTTTGTATTCGCTCCCTTGTTTGACTTCTGCACACTACACTGTCAAGGGGCATCAGCAGTATGAAACTCTGTTTTCTCTGCTGTCCCAGATTACTTCTCTGTGCAGCTTTTCAAAGCTTGAAATGATGTGTTTAAAGCTACCCACTTTCTTCCTGGTACACTAGGGATACGCAAGGTTATATTTCGATAGTCTTAATGAATTTTGAAAAATAATTTCCTCCAGTGGCCTTGGGTAATTGTCGGTTTAATTACAGGGAGAAGCTGAGATGGAAACTTTGCTTTGTCACTGAAATTCTCCTCTTTGAAAATTCCCCATTCCTCAGGACGTAGCAGTCTGTACTCTGAGCTATAACGTAGGCTTTCCTAAAATCCCTTGAAGAACTGTGGAAAAAGTGAATACTTCTGCAAATTCATTCATCTGACATCAAAGCTATGAAAGCATTCTTTTAGCAAGCAAGCGAGGCAGATTGCGCTGGCGTAGACACACAACCAGACTCATTGTACATCTGGGTCTTCCCGTTTGGAGACTGTATTTGAAGTAATTTTGCATTCTTTTTGCCACCTTACTTTCTTATTCTGTACTGAGGTCATACTGCATCGTCTGCATCTTATTGAGGTCTCCTGCTCTGTGGGTTAAATGGATAGGCCTTTAAAGAATAAAAAGGCATTGATGTCCAGAAGAAGCAGCACTTTATTCAATGAAAATCAAGTAGAAGGTATTTAAAAAGATGTGAAACCTCATTGCCTCAATTAAAAAAAAGAAAATCAAATAACAAAAAACCACAAGACAAAGTCAGTGTTTATTACTTGTAGGTTCAGTTGATGCTCAGCTTTGGTATTTCTATTTACTGCTTTTTTTCTCCTTGTCCTTGTGCTGGTACATTGGAAAATAGATCATAAAAAACATTTTCAGCAAAGACACATTTGATTTATGTCCAGGATGGGTTCTTGGTATTGATTTTTTTTCCCTCTGGAAAAAAACCCAAAGCACAAAAAACAAAAGAAAACAAAACTATATGTCTCCATTATTTTCTGAGCCTGGCAATGCAGTTGCATATTTCAGATTAGCTTTTATCCTAAATTACTCAATGTGCTCTTTTGTATTTTAAAAAGTGTTTTTGCCATACATCTAATTGTCATGCTTTTACAGGGGGGAGGGAACAAGAGGAGGAACTGGGAGAGACCATTTGAGAGGAGAAGGGAATTTTAGGAAAAGAAAGCACAATTTGGGAAGTTTGTATGGTGGCTGTAATTCGAGTTGGTCACAAAAGAGTCAGAAGTGGAACAAAAACAAGAAGCAGATCAAAGGCTAGGAAGCAAGGTTCAGCAGTATGGGGTTTATATCTTTTCGGGTAGGGAGAAGATTAGAGCAAGAAAAATACTACCATGGGGCTAGGAAGACATTGTGAAAGAAAAAGGAAATATACATAGACTGCATTTGAAATAAAATCCCCAAGGAAGGTGAAAGAGAAGGAGTGAGAATTAAAAACAAAGACTTGAACAGTGTAAAGCCCATGAGCTGAAAGGAGAGGGGCAGAAGCAGGCATGTGCTGCCTAAACAGTTCACCACAGCCATGACAAGCAGTGAGCTTCCATACAACCCGTTTTTCATTTGTTTTTGCCAGTTGGTGGCCCAGTGCTGATGCCTGTGCATGCACCCTCTCCTACGTATGTTTTGGGCCTTGAATAAAAAGCTCCAAGAAATGACGGTGAAATTTCATCCTCAGAACAACCAGGGCAGGCAAACCTCTGGTGCATTCTCTGCATAGCAAAGCCAGAGCCCACAGTATTCAATTGTGCCCTCCTTGCCACTGTGCCCAGGGCACCACCGCGCATGCCGATGGTGGCCAGTGCCCAGCACAGCACAGAGTCACGGCAGTGCCGACTGCTGAGGAGCTGCTGAATCATTTTCCAGCAGATGTTTTGCGACCAACAGCTGTCTTGGGCAGCAGCGGCGCACCCATACACCGTGACTCAATGTTTTGGGTTCTCCAAGGGAGTGGTGCTTCGCACTCGAATCACATGGCAGTGTCAGCTTGCGCCAGGGTTGCGTGGTTCCAGCCGGCACCTAGATAAGCGAGAACAATATAAACACGGGGGAAAGCACCCGGTTGTTCATATGAGCTAAAAGATTTCCGTGAGAGTAGAGTGTATTCCGCTCTGCCTCCCACCCTGGCGGAGGCTCCTCAGTGCTGAGAAAAGTGAGATTGTGCTTTAAAATATTAAATGGTTTTCCAATCAGTTCAGAATCTTAGCTTTCACCTGGGTCTTTTGTATGCATTCACTTCTTCCAGCAGGAGATTTGTAATAGAGGAAGCAGGTGTAATATGGTGATTATAAAGATATTGTTGGGGTTGGGGAGGAAAGGGTGATTTTTCAGTGCTTTCCTTCTCTGAGCCTGCCAGAGCTTCCTTTTCAGCTGACTCCATCACATATTAGCAAGGCACTGTGTTTTTGTCTAAGTCAGTCAGTCAATTGCGCATAGGAAAAAAAAGGTTGCTGGGTAAATTTGAAACAGTGATAACACATTCCTTCATTTGTATATATTGTACAGTTTACCAATGTGTTCATTCCTTTGGCTTTCAACATTTCACGACTTTCCATGGGTCAGCCCAAGCAATAAGAACAGGTCCTGGTAGATTAAAAGATCCCTGCTTTCAGACACTCATGTTCACATCACTTTGCCTGTTGATTTCCTGTTTTTTATTTATTTTTATTTTTATTTATTTTTCTTTTATTTTTAATCAGCAACATCAAATGGGTCTTTGGAGGGCCTGGATAACCAGGAGGGAGGGGTGTGCCAGACAAAAACCATGAAGATCCTCATGAAAGTTGGACAAGGTAAAGACCATCTGCTGTTTCATGAAATCACTTTGATCGGTCTCAATGTCCTTTTTAGCTTTCAGGCTTCTTTTAGCAGTGCAGAGCAGAGAGCCAGTCGAGTCTAGTGTGGTCATTCCTCCCTTATAGTCTGAAAGCGAAGTCTATTTTCTCTTCCTCAGTTACTGACAGATTTCTACAGAAGGAGGGTTAGCGTAATAGGATCTCTTCATTGGAGAGATCCCTAGAAGGAGAAAGGTCACCTGGGAATAGTGTGTTTCAGTCATTTTTATTTGTATTTTAAAAACAAAAGCCACAACTCTGCTGCTCAAAATTATTTAAAATACATGAAAAGAGGGAAGCTAATATTTCTATAGTTTGCTTGCTATGAATTCTGATTACAGAGAGGTTTTTGTTCATTGTCTCTTTTCACATATAGATAACCTATTGTGCAGGAAGAAAGAATTATTCTTCTAAGCAGAAGTTGGTTTAGTAGTCAGTCAACTTCCTCAGTTAAACTGAAATGTCATCTGCAAAGCTTTTCTTGCCAGTCACAAGAGCCCTTATAGTTTCTGCAGATGGCCTCACAATTTAAACAACTGAAATAATATAACCATTTTGCTTTAAAAGGAAAATTACGTTCTTATATCTTCCTGCCCTTTGCATAAAGATTCTTCTGCTAAACCATTTGTGTCTCACGAGGTACTTAGAGCTGGCATATAAGGCTCCATACCATCAAATGCCAAAGATGCATGAGTCGTCTTTCTCTCCCCCAGATCCCAACTCAGCAGGGCTGCCCCGGCACACGGATCCCACCAAGCGCCCCGAGCAGGAAGCTGGCACCAATGGGAAGAGTTCCACCACCAGCCCCTTTGTGAAGGACCACTCAGGTATGTGTGGTGGGACTCTAGGACGTCTCCTCCTTGTCCCAAATGTATTTTATTTTACCATTGAAGTGCCAGAAGAGCAAATATTTTCATAGTGAGATGAAGCAAAAGCCAGTTCTGCTGCTCCTGTTGATAGTGTCTTGGAGCTGCAAGTTTTGACATAGCTGCTCTGACCCCTCTTCCACTCTCCTGCAGAAGTTCATTATGTCTAGTGACAATATCACTCATTTACAGGAAAGTTTTTGGATAGGACATTTGCTAAGCAGCTTTACAGTGGTCAATGCTGCTTTACATTTAGTACTCTGGCAGATGAACTAGTCTCTATCTTTCTCTTCCCGTATAATACATTATCAAGTGGTTCTCGACAGCCATTTATAAAGTTTATTTCAAGGCATCTATAATTAATGTCCTAATCTTTTAGCTGACCATATAAAGTCTACACATGGCTGGTCTTTTACTAAATGCAAAGATTCTTTGTTTTTTAATAACTACCTAAACAAAATAAACAGATCATTCCAAACAAATACCTTCAGGATGCACTGCATTTGTTAGGTGAACAAGAAAAAACCTAACTCTTAAGACTGAAGGTGTCCCAAAGAAAATTCAGTGAACTGGGAATGCTGCAAAAGCAAAACTTGCTGACAGGTGATTCTGGGTTTCCTGAAAAAGGCTGCAAGTTTTGCTTGCTAGCTCTGTAATTAGTTACCGGGCTAATGAATCTTTGATATAGTGGTCACTAGGAAGGCTTTGCTGATTCCTACAGAGGCTTCAGTAGGAAGATTTAACAATTACGTGAATGTGGCATCTGTATCAGTCTTCCATTGTGAGTGAGCATCAAGAGAGGGAAATTGTTTCAAACTTTCAAGAGAGAAAGGGTCAAGTAAGCATTCATTTAATTTTTGTGACAAATAATGTGATGGTGTGATGGCACCAAATATTCAACACACTATTCAGCACGTGAGCTTTTCCTGACCACCAAACGCATGGTATTGTTTTCTTTTAATTAAATGTTAGTTAATACAAACAGGTACATGCTGTAGTTATTTTGCCTGTCTCCCACACTGCCTCAAGCTCCTTTGTTTCATGTGCAAGCAAGGGAAGTCCACGTAAAGAGGTATTAAGGATGGTTTAACTTAAATCAATATACAAAAGATAAAATAGCAGTGGGAACACTGTGACACTGAACAGTACCAGTTGTTCTGAGAATTGTCATTTCCTTGTGTTATATTCAATTCCAGTCCTATCCCTCCCCTTTCTTGTGCCCAGGGCTGGCCAGCATCTGTTAAAAGATGCAGTGTGCATCAAAGGGTGCCTTGTCAGTGCCAGTCCTTGCTGCTGATGGATGATGATGTATGAAACAGAGTGGTTTGGGAGCAGCACAAAAGTGAGACCAACAGACACAAAGTCTTGTTTGATATTGATTGCTGACTTCAGTTGTTTGCATTTAGCTATCTAACAGGGTAATTGGTTTGTCAAACTTTAGCTCTCAGTTGATTCTTCCAGTGTTGCTTACTCTACACATTTTTAAGCAACGTAAACGGGTTGCAGGATGGCAATAACTTTTGTCTATTGTATTTCCATTCTTTCCAGGATCTAGCGCAGATGGCAGTAAAGCTGGGCATTCCAGTATACTGGGTTCAGAGGTGGCCTTATTTGCAGGGATTGCATCAGGGTGCATCATTTTCATCGTCATCATCATCACTTTGGTGGTTCTTTTGTTGAAGTACCGGAGAAGACACAGGAAGCATTCCCCGCAACACACGACAACTCTATCACTTAGTACATTAGCCACCCCAAAACGCAGTGGCAACAACAATGGTTCTGAGCCCAGTGACATTATCATTCCTCTAAGGACTGCAGACAGTGTCTTTTGCCCCCACTATGAAAAGGTCAGCGGCGACTATGGACATCCGGTGTACATAGTTCAAGAGATGCCTCCTCAGAGTCCAGCAAACATTTATTACAAGGTCTGAAAACACACAACCTGTGTTACAGTTGAGTCGTAGAGGAAACTCACTGGTCAAATGCTTTCTGTTGGGGTTTGTGATGATGCCTGGTGCGCTAGCATTGACTTAAGCACAGGGGGGAGAAAGCAACAGCTCTTTCTCCAGGAACCAACGCGAGCTGGACAGCTTACCTAGTCTGTAGAATTCCTATCTCAGTGAATAAGTATTCACTAAAAGCTGGAAGACTTTTATGTAGAAGATGCCCATTCTGATTGCTGTACTCTTGTTACATTCATCATCCTCAAAGCCATGTGCTGTGGGCGTTCAGGCATGTACAAAAGCCAAGGGAAGATGGAGCAATCCGTGGATGTTAATAGCTCTAGGCATCCTGGGAAGGTGCTCTAGGATATATCAACCTTGAAATGCAATCTTCTGACTTTTGTGTGTCTCTCTCAGTGCGTACTGGATTTGTCACACAGACCTTGGTGTCTAAGTAAGACTTGTTGAAGTTCTCTCGCTTTTAGTCCGTCACTGTTCCATTTGTTTCTGTTATCCAGGGCTCTGCCATCCTTCACATAAGATTTCCTTTCACTCCACCTCCTGAATCACTAATGGAACATTAATGTTTGGAGATCCGCACTCCATCCATCTGCTACAGCAGCCTCACTCGAATGGGTAATGCATTTATAAAAATGGTGTTTGATAGTAAGGAGCCTTCCAGCCAAATAGTTAGGCTGTCAACAAAGTCAAGAGCAGGACTGGGTGGTGGAGGGAAGGGCTGATTGCAGTTGAATATTGCTGCCTCAAAAATAGAAGCTGGGAAGAAAAAAAAAATACATTTAGGTAGCACAGCACTTTGGTATGCTAAGTTTTAAGAGGCAAGTAGGAAACACAATAACATGCACAGAGGATTAAGGCTGCATTTGAAGGAATTCATGGTTATCAAATACCAGTGTGCAGAAAAAACTAGAACCTTCGATACAGTAGAACAGAGGGGGTATTGTTAGTAAGTGAACAAGCCTGGAGAAGACAAGACAATAGCAGGCCGCTGAGGATTATATTAGGGCAGGGCTGATGTGGTACTGGCAATAAGATACACAGCTTTGAAGCTGTAGGGGAAAACATAGTCTGCTTTGGGTGACTTTTAAGCAGACTCAGCTGCTATACTATCAGATTATAATAAACACAGGGAAAGCATTTAAGAAAATAGCAGAGAGCCAAGTCTGACCAAGAAGATTATAAGCCAACGGGTCAAACGAGCTAATTCTGTCACTGGTGAAGCTGTAGAAAAAAACCCCAAAAAAGCAACAAACCACAAAACCTTTCTCATCTCTGAAAGTAAGGCAGAATTTCATTCTGACTGACCCTTTTGGCACTTTGGCTTATTGTTGTGCTGTCCCTGCACAGTGAGTGTAGGTACTGTGACTGACACAGCCGTTCATTGGTGCTCTGTTGCAAAGTGAAAGCACATATGGCAAACCTCTTGCAGTCCATAAGAATAAAATAAATTATGACACTGAGATGGAGAAGGAAAATATGTCTTATTTATAATAGGTGTATAGAACACAAGGGATATAAAGTGAGATTTTTTCTTTCGTTCATTCTTTCTTACTTTTTATTTTGGTTGGGTTTTTTTTACTAATATATATTTTGAGATTGCACAGAATCTACACCAGAAGATGTGAAATTCATTTGCGGCAATTACATAGTCTTAACTTGTTATCATTTTACATATATAGGTATGTGTGTGTATATATGTATATACACGCATATATATGATTATATATGCATACATATGCATATATATTTATGCATACGCACACATTTTTTTAAAAAATTAATTACTTCTGGGAAAAAAAAAATCAGCCATCCAAAAATAACAATGGCAGCATATTTAAAAAAAATAAAAATTCCAAAGCATCTCAGAAGAGAAAACTAGGAAATATAAGGCCCAAAATATCAAGAAGTCAGTTTTACTGCATCACATATTTAACAGTGACAAGGCGTGCCGGCATTTATTTTCTGTGTTGTGATTTCCCTTGCCTTACAGGCTGATGTGTTCTGTAGATTTTGTTGAGGTTTGTAGAGGGAGGTTTCAGGTTAAAGTTTTCTCTTTAGCATGGCTGTTCCCCTAAAGCTCCCACCCTGGGGAGGAAGTAAAAAAACTCTACTTTTATATGTGCTATGCAAATAGACATTTCTAACATAGTCATGTTACTATGGTAACACTTTTGCTTTCTGATTTGGAAAGAAAATGTAGCAACTGCATTTTAGGGTTCTCAGACATCCGGTGAGCCCCTGAAAAAAAAAAAAAGAAAGAAAAAAAAAAAAAAGAAAAAAAGTCTGTTATAGAAATGATCACTCTCTTTGTTTTCTGAACCTGAGGATTATATTGGGATGTTGGTCCAAAAGAGAGAAACAAAAACAAAAAAAATCTCAACCCATGGTTCTGTGGAAGGTTACTATGGTGACTAACTACAGTACATATGTAATTCTTTTCAACAACCTTTCGTTTCTGTGAATCCATCCATACAAGGTTCTCTTGTAAGTCATTAAGATTTTATTTTGGGGGAGGGGGAGGAAGGGAGAAGATGGGTTTACTGATACTGATTTTTTTTAAATCATATCTATGCTTCGTCAGTTGGCCACATTCTAGTTACATGCTAAACTGTGAAAAAAATAATCAGATTAATTGCTCAAGAGCAACCTGCAACCAATTGAAAAAAAATGTACTGTGCGTCTGTTTTGTGTCTGGTGCAGAATTATGACAATCTACCAACTGTTCCTTTCTTTGACGTTGGTCCAGCTATGAAAAGTTACTGTAAATGCCTTGCTTGTATGATCATCCCTAGTCACCTGAATTGGAATTTGCACCATCATGTCTAAGTGAAGATGCTGTAAATAGGTTCAGATTTACTGTATATGGATTTCGGGTGTTACAGTAGCCTTATTCACCTTTTTAAATAATAAAAAAAAAAAAATCCACATGAAAACAAGACAAAAAAGGCTTTTCTTAACCAGATTGTGTATATAGAGCAATGTTGGTTTTTTATAAAGTCCGAGCAAGATGTTTTGTATAAAATTTGAATTTTGCAATGTATTTAGCTACAGCTTGTTTAAAGGCAGTGTCATTCCCCTTTGCACTGTAATGAGGAAAAAAATGATATAAAAGGTTGCCAAATTGCCGCATATTTGTGCTGAAATTGTGTACCATGAATATTTATTTAAGAATTTCTTTGTCCAGTTTGTAAGTAACACAGTATTATGCTTGAGTTATAAATATTCTTATTTCCTTTTTTTCTTTTTTTTTTCTTTTTTTTTTTTTTAATATTTGTTTTGTTTGGTTTGGTTTTGGTTGTTTGTTTGTTTCATTCTGTATTAAAACTAGCCGGTCATAAGTTTGAAATCTGCTTTAGTTCCACATTGCAATTAGTTCCCAGAAAATGAAAATTATGAAAATCACATTCCACGTCTGTTTCAAACTGAATTTGTTCTTAAAAAAATAAAATATTTTTTTCCTATGGAAACCTTGCCTTCAAGTATTTTCTTCTTTTGTTTTAAGGTTTTTTCTTTTCTAAAAGATGAAAATAAATAAGAAAGCCACTAAACTTGCCTGCATGCCTCCCTCCCTGCCATTTCTCCCTTTCTCCTCTCCCCCATCTCTCCAACCTGATTGCTAGTGGTTAATGGGAAAGAAAGCTCCTTAGAATACACTGACTTGTGTTAACCTACTTCTTTCCCAGACACTCTATTACATATATCAGCAGATTTTAGAAAATGTCTGGGTATCCTATGCCCTTGGAAGTCAGTGAACTCCAATCAGGTGCAGTAACCAGGTTGCCTGGATGATCCTGGAGGTGAGATTATAACCACACAAATAATTCCCAGACATTTTAAGGTGGGCTTACACTGTGACCAGAATCAGAGAAAATACACCTGAAGCCTTCCGGATACTGTTGTCACTGCTTCTCCAGAGGAGGGGAAGCAGCAAGCCTGGGGTGACAGGGCTGAGCAAGAAGGGACAGGAGATGTAAGACCTTGGGAGGATGATGAAGGATTAGAAATGCTGCAAAGTCAGAGCATCTCTGCATGGTTCTTTCAGTGGGGCCATGCATTGTCCTGTCCCCACTTTACTGCGCCGTAAGGGAGATGGAGGCCCACATGTGCAGGTAGCACAAGCCTTAATACAAGATCTGTGGTTGTGCTGCTGTAATTTTCACTAGAATAACAAATTCATTTAATAAATAATACCTTAATTTTCTGACAAAGTGTGGTCAGCCTGAAAGTGAAGCACCATTCAGTTTGTTAGGAGCACATAAATAGCATGATCATCCATGGAGTAACAGGTGGGAAGGTCTACAGAGGGCAAAGATGCATTTGTAACTTAAACAGCATATGCCAGTTTGTCATAAAATTTTCATTAAAGAAAGGCAACTAATTATTCATAGTATGGGTCATGCAATTCCCATTTGTCAAATTATTTGTTCTTTTGTGAATAATCAGAAAAAAATGACTGTATGGCAAAGACACTTAGCACGTCACAATGGGACAAGTACCCTGAAACAGGACGTACAGAAAATCCCAGACTGGGGGATGGTTGGACTAGCATGACAGTTTGCTGATGGAGCTCATTTTAGAGGTCCAGTTTACAGAATCTGTGCTGGAAGTTGATCTTAACAGGAAAGTCACACAGTGGCATTTAGGCTTACCTTCTGACTCTGCTACAGATATCTTTGGGAGAGCGTGTGTGCTCACAGTGGAGCGTATGAACATCCTCTGGCATCTCAGTAAATCACTGGTGCCTAATCCTCCATTTATGTCTGTAAGTCACTTGAAAGGAGGTAGCCTTGTGTTCTCTGGGCACACAGATCCTTGGCTGGACTGAGTTTTTACTCTCTGCTTTGCACTTGCACACGGGATTTCACTTGCTCGTCTCGGTGGGTTGTCATGAGAGTTCCCATGTTGTTAATTTGCTGTGAGGTACTCAGGTCTGGTCTATGCTGAAAGCTTGTCTGGCACAGCCATCTGTTAGAGCTGTGGCTCTAGCTTAGTGAAGGCTAACGCTATTGTTTTTATTTTAAGTGCTGGTAAATACAGGAAGATGTTGATAAAAAAAAATAATTGAATAGTGTCAAGTTTACATGGCATTTTCATTACTGTGCCTCTTTTTTCAAACAAATATATAATTTTTTATTATATTTATAACTAGCATGTATACTGACACCCATGAACACCTATTTTTGTCACTGTTACAGCAATAAGGGAAAATCAGTGTTGCTATAAACCATGTCTCCACTGGGGGGGAAAGTGGTTGCCAGTGTAACTATCTGTATATTTACGCCTGGGGCCAAGGTTGCTTGGTTAATGGGAGTGCCTTGCACACGTACCTTCCCAAACAGAACAGATTCTCCATTGAGTCTGCTGAACTCATTTTGGTAAAAGATATGTGCCTTAGATACTCAGCATAAAGTCACTGACTTATAACCCACCTTTTATAACTTCCAGAGGAAAAAAGTCATACTTGCATTTTGTCCTGCTGCTAACCGTGCACTATTAATTATCAAACAAGCACAAAATGAGCACAGAATTTACTGCCTTTATTACGAAACTGGTTCTCTGGCAAGATCTAGTCCAAGTCAATAGGCTCCACTAAGTGGAAAATAAAATTATAATTCACAGTTGTTATCCATCTAGAGTGGAATAAGATCTGTTTCATAAAATAGTGCCTCACTAAGTAAGCATAACAGTGTTACTGCCTAGGTTTAAAATTATGTACCTCTTCTTTGGCCTGTCTCTTTAGCTTTGCTGTGATGCATTGATCAAATGCTTGCTCAGTCAGCAGCACGCTCGTTTTGATTCTATGGGCACTGTAAATTTTCTTTTTGCAGAAAAACTTAAAATTTTGTAGTGGTTAGCAAAACAAAGGACAATGAAAACTCAGTCTTTCTAAGTGACATTCTGCATCTTCATGACCACAATACAAATTTTGGTGGGCAAAAATCCTGGGGTTTAAAAACACCAAACAGTCCTTATACAGTTGGCATGTCATTACATGAAACATCACACCAGAAATCAAGCAATATTTGGTTTGGAAAAAGATGAGTATTAGAGCATATACCACAGTGTATTCATGATTGTGCCATTCATAATCCAAATGGTGCTGGATTCAGCTGACTGAGCTATTGTCTATGACACAAAATAATATCCATCCTTCACGTGACTGGTGGAAATACTTTGATGTTTAATTAAAGGGCAATGTGATCCATAGCAAACCCTCTTGAGAAGGAGGGGCAAGAGCCTGCCC